TAACTCAATCATCCTGACTTTCTCTAACTAGAGAGGTGTTATTAAAATATACACTGTATTATGTAATATTGCCCGGTAGTGATTCAGAAATAGGTATTTGTCTATAGGTCCTTCCCAGAGAATGAAGCTCCATTTCTTCAGATGGGAAAATGAAGACACAAAATGTGGATCAGAAAGAAAAAGCGGGCAGAAATAAACCTGAACCAGAAAAATTTCTGGCTTTTCCATCAGATTTGGGATAACAGAATTATGCACCAGATGTCTTATCAGTAATAGAAGTATGTTTCCCGACCCCTTAGTTTTCTGTTCCAAGAGGCACTGTTATACAGGATAAAACCACAACATTGAAACTTGCGCTGTGATGAAGTATGTGCTATACAGATAAATTACCCAATATTCTATAATAGAATGTCAAGCACATTTTCCCTCAACTTCAGCACTATTGACATTTTGTGACACTTAACCCTTTGTGTTGGGGGCTGCTGCTGCATCCTCACTAGAAGCCAGTAGCATGCCTGGAATTTTAACAACCAAAATGTCTCCAAACACTGCTGTGTGACCCCTGGGGGGTGGGTGGTCAAATCAGACCGAGTTAAGAACCACTGCGGTAAATTAAAGCTGCCTCCTTTATGTTTAACTACTTAAAATATTCTGTTCAAGAATTTCATTCTTTTTCTTTTCAAATAAAATATTGACGTATGAAAAGAAAGCATGGAGTCATTGCTAGTTTAGATAAATACTTCATCTAAATATTCTGTTCTGAGCCAGAGTTAATAAAATGGTTTCCTTAAATTGTTTCCAGTACTTGAATAGTCACTCTTGGTTCTTTATTCTCTAAGGCATAATTTTGACACAGCTAACTCATGACCAGGTTTCTTGAACTCTTGGCCAAGTTTCTCTTCCTTTATCTGTAATGGCTTTTTAAAAAAGTCTCATGTTTTCCTGATGCTATGAAGTTCTCTCTACACATTATGCCCTAATGTGTAGACTAAGTGGAGCCAGGACTCAGTGCGTGTTTCCAAAATGTATCAAATGTTTGCATTTCATCTACAGTAAGTATGTTTTTGAAAACTTTGGGTTTTATATTGAGAGAGCCTTTATGAAAGAAGAAAAGGAGGAACAGGGGCACCTGGGTGGCTCAGTCGGTTGAGCATCCAACTTCAGCTCAGGTCCTGATCTCACAGCCACGTGCGTGGGCTTATGAGCCCCGTGTCAGACTCTGTGCTGACAGCTCAGAGCCTGGAGCCTGGTTCAGATTCTGTCTCCCTCTCTCCCTGTCCCTCCCCTGGCTCACACTCTTTCTCTGTCTCTGTCTCTTTCTCAAAAATAAATAAACATTAAATTTTTTTTTTCAAAAAGGAGGAATGGAAGGGAGGAGGGACGGAGGAGAGAGGGAGAGAGAGAACACGAAATCGAAGGAACTCTTGCAGAATAAACACTGGTTTATGAAATAGCACGGGGTAGGGGATGATCACCTCTCACCATTGAAGCCCTAGCAGCCAGTGAGATTTGGCACCTCCCTGTCCTTCCTCCAACACAGCATGATCCTCCACTCCATTCCCTCCTCCCCATTCCCTCTACCTCCTGTCCTCCCCGCCTGCATCCATAAGTGTGCATGAGTGTGCACACATTAGCATGCACACACACCTTTGGGTCAAAACCTTGGGTCTTTCCAAGAGGAACAAGTGTGAGCATTTTTTCTGTTGTTGCTCCCAAATTTTTTCTTGCTGGGACCAGCAAAGGGTCAGAAATTCCTTGCCTATACTTCAAGCCTGAGAGCAAAGAGTTTCTAGACTCACTTCAAAGTTTCCTAATGCTTACACTGCCTTTGAATCTTTTATTTGACAGTTGACTGCCTGTTTTTCAGCCTTAACAGAGTTCTTAATATAGCCAAGTCCTTCCAAATCCTGCAACATTCATGTGTTTTGTACATAGAAAAAGGAAAGGAAACTTTAAATAGTATGCAGTGTTGGGAAGTCTGACAGGAAACAGGTACCCTCAGATGTGATACTAATAGTGAGTTATGGAAATGCTTCTGGAATGATACAGCAATATGTATCAAAAACTCGAAAAACACACATACCTTGTAGATCCAGGTATTGAAGTTCTTGGCCTTATTATAAAGGAATCATTATAGATGTGCTCAAAGGCAAGGGCACTTACCCAAATATTGTTATAATAGTAAGAAGTCAAACAAAATTGTAATATCATTGATTATATATAGTTTATCCATCTAATGAAATGCCAAATAAATTATGCTCTTAAAATATATGCCTAGGAAAGTCAGGAGGAATAGACACAAACATGTTTAGCCATTGTTAATGTCGTGGTGTGCTTGTAATTTCTTCTTGACGTTGTTCTGAATAAGTCAAAATTGCCAGTGAATAGGTGGTGTTTTAAATTTTTTTTTTTTAATGTTTATTTATTTTTGAGAGAGACAGAGACAGAATGTGAGTGGGTTAGGGGCAGAGAGACACACACACACAAAATCCTAAGCAGGCTCCAGGCTCTGAGCTGTCAGCACAGAGCCCGACGCGGGGCTTGAACTCACAGACTGTGAGATCATGACCTGGGCTGAAGTCAGAGGCTCGACCGACTGAGCCACCCAGGCGCCCCTGAAGAGGTGTTGTTTTAAGAATAAGAAAGAGGGCATTTGAAATAAAGAAAATGACATGAAAATTTCCTTGGTTGTCTGCCCATTGTTATGTAGAAATAATTTCTTGAATATCTCACCTGGTGTGTCCAGGGGCCTAATACCTAGGTGGTGAGTTGTAGAATTAACTGCACTTACTATCAATAACACACCCCAACAGCTTTCATTTATTGATCACTTAAGATGGGCAAAGCATTCTCCTATATTTATACCAGGTATCTCCTTTACTTCTCAAAACAACCCCCTCGGTAGATATTACTCTCATTTTTGCAGATGAGGAAACCGATGCTCCAGGAAGTTAAGTAAACGTGAGACTAAGGAAGGACTTGAATCCAAGCACTCTCCTGGCACCCTTCACCTCTGAGCTACCTTGTTTTCCTCATGCAGTTTCAAACCCGAGCATCCTCTCTTCTCCCGATCATGTGGAGCCAGAGGTGCCCAGAGAAAAACAGTTTCAGAATTCCAGCCACAACGCAAGGGTGCCTGTATCAGAGATTGACCTTCGCTTTGTTATCATATTTGCTCTATAATGCCTGAAAAGCATGACATGATTAACTTATGTGATGCCTCTGACAAGTTTGAGAACACAAAATGGGAAATAAAATCTGGGAATATTTTCCCACTGAAGAATCTCCCCCCACCCCGCTCCCCCTAGAGAATGTAGCTAATGCCTCTGCCTTACCCTGAACAATATATTAGAACATTTAGCAATTGTAAAAATACCAATCACAAAAATGTGAGTCTGCTTAATTAATAGAACATCTTCATGGTAGAAGTTGATTTTATTTATCTGCCAGTGGAATCCCAAGAGGCAAAAAAATCACTACCAAGGTTGACCAAAGCAGATAATGAACATTATAGATTTTTAGTGAGGTTCTGAGTTCTACTGGCTTTATCTGACTGCATTAAGACACATACACATGCCAAGGTAAAGAAACAACATGTACTGAACTGATTGCACACAGACTTCATTGTTGGAACATTAACCATGATTGTAACAATGTTTTCACAGCTTTGCAATTGTGAGAATATAATGACATTATGGGAGAAGAAGGGGGAGAAGAAGAGGAGGTGATGAAGCTTAATTAAATATTCCTTGCTACTAGTATGAACAAGGACTCAAACACGGACACTCTGTGGAACACAGATACTAATTCACGCAACAGAGTGAGCAATTCAACAATTTACTGATGCAGACTCTGTATAAAATTCCTCTGCTACGATTCAGTTCTCTTATTTTTTTCCTGTATCCATGTAATCAAAATTTCATCATGATGAATGGTGCCTTGAGTCTTTTTTGGGGGAAATTGAAAGCAGCAGCAGCAGCTCTGAATACAAGAAATTAACTTTGTGTATAATACACGTAACTTCAGTATCCATGAGGTAACCTATGCCCTAACAACAAATATCTCTTGACACCAAGGGTTTTAACTTTTGCTAGTTCCTAATTAAAGCATTCTTTTAGAAGATTATTTTAGAAGTTTCTTAAACAACAATGCATGGTTTATGCAAAATATAAGAATCAATGTATACTCTCAAGGTCAGATTCAGGGCCAAAATGCACTACCTGAATCTAGTAACACATTTACTCCTTGCTGCATATAGGTTGCACATGAGAAACACAGGCTGCACTTTTCTGTGATCCATGCAGTAAATGTTCACAAAAACCAAGTGATCAATGAGACATCCTTCAGCTACTAAAATGAACACTTCCAGTCACACAGACTTATCAATGAAAATAAAAGCAGTGATTGATGCATCGAAACCATGCCAGGCCGAGTTAGTGCTGGAAAGACCACAATGAAAGCATGGTAGTCATGAGTTTTCTACTTGTTTTTATAAGGGATTGAGATTATCCTCGCCTCACATGGCTTTTCTCTACACCACAGGCTTTTGCTAACAAAGCATCTCAGGCTTCAAATGAAAACAATCATCCTTTAATGAAAAAGCTGAGAAATGCTTCTCTGGAGTTTCTGATCCTGGAGACAACTTGCAATAGGTCCTTAAGGCAAATGCCATGAGTCAACGAAATTGTAGAAGTCTACAAGTCTCAGAATGTAAACATTAAAATCGCTGGCCAAGGAGTTCTCTCTGCGGATGAAAACTCCTCACAAGAAGACCTATCTAGAGAGTACCAGCTTCTTGGCTTTTGAAGTTCATGTGACTTTTATGTCCTAGAAGCACTGTACATTTTCTCCTTTGTAGAGACTTCTGTAGTGGATAAAAGTTCATGATGTTGCTTAAAAAAACAAAAACAAAAACAAACAAAAAAACCACACCAATTGTAGCGCAGAGAAGCTACTCAAATACAAAGCAGTTTTGAGGTTTGATTTTGTTTGTTTTACTCTCATATTTTACTTTTGTGGTTGGCATATGGAAAACCAAACTGAGAAATCATAATGTTGGAGTATTTTAAAGGCATGCTATCATAGATATCAACAAGCTTATTTATACAATAAGATCTCTGCAGGAAGTGCTCAGCTCGATGCCACATTCCAGGATAGCCCCCGTTGGTTTCTTTTTCTAGATTGCCCATGTTTACAGGTTTCACGAATACCCCTGAAGTCTTCCCAGTGTGTTTGGCAATGATAAAATTCATGGCAATATCATCACAGTTTTGGGTTTCATCTATCAAGGCATGGACAGCTGCAGGTTGCCTCTGAAAGAGGTCAAGGTATTTGCTATTGAAGAATGAGGCTCCAATCAGCACCAAAGAGTACTGGTCACCATTTCCAAACCCCGGTGTTTGCAGTTCAAAACCTCCATAACTGTAGATACCTGATGAAGTAGACACATGCTTTCTAGGAACAAATCCTACAATTTGATCAGGAAATTGCTGAAAAGATGGAAAAAAGAACAATTAAGGGTGGCATTTCTTCAGAGCAGACATGGTAAAAAAGGCAATTATTTATTACAGAGAGAATTGAACTGATTTATCAACTTCATTTTATTCCTGGTTTCTACATCTCAATTTCATCTGACTCCAGGCAACTTGATAAATCTATGTCCTGATCAGTTGTAGGTCAAATTCCATCGCAACCCAAATACCTAACAAAATTTCTAACCTTACAAATGTTCTTTTAATTCAAATGATATCTGATATTAATAAATTCTAGTCACCAAGGAGTCTGGTTCTTTAAAGTTTGCTGCAGGAGAAGCTGACTGTATGAGTGCTATTCATTATAGCAGATAAAAAGATACAGTGTGATTATTTTGAAAAATGGTTTTAATCTCTTAGGAGTACATAAAATTATGGATCTACATGTATGATTCTACTGTTTTTCCATGTTGATTTCAATGTTTTTGAAAGTCACTGTTGATCTTAAACAATGTTATATTTTTCTCCCTTTTAGCTTGGGTGTTTCCTTTTTAAAAATATGAGAAAAAAAAAATATGAGGTGTCTGGGTGGCTCAGTTGGTTAAGTGCCCGACTCCTGACTTTGGCTCAGGTCATGATCTCACAGTTTGTGAGTTCAAGCTCTGCCCTGGGCTCTGCACTGACAGTGTGGAGCCTGCTTGGGATTCTCTCTCTGTCTCTCTCTGCCTCCTCCCTGGTTGCTCTCTCTCTCTCAAAATGAATAAACTTTAAAAAAAAAATACAAGGAAAACTATATAACGAGATGTCAGCAGGATCTTTGAAGAAAAGATAGCAGTAAAACAATAATATTAAGATGAGAGTAACTAACAATAAAAATCACCAAACCAGAGAAAACCAGTGAAGCATGGAAAAGAAGTAAGAATTTATAGAGTTAAAGGGTTTAGTTCAATCTCATAAGTAATTTGTGTTTCACTCACTTACTGAACAGACATTAAACGAGGGACACACACACACACACACACACACACACACACACACACATCAGGTGGGTTAATTCCCATTTCAAAAACTGCATAGTCTGGGGAGGACATGATCCAGATATGTGAACAAAGGATTCCCATACTACGAGATGCTTGTACACACAGTTGGGTAAACCTCTTGGAAGCACCGAGGACAGGGTGACAGCTGTATTGCTGGGAGGCAAAGGGGAATAGGGGGTCAATGATAAAAGACGGGAGGCTTCAGACAGGATGTGCCATTTACCTAATCTAGGAGGATGAGTGAAGTTCCACAGATGACCAGAGGAGGAAAAGTCACAGCACTAAGCAGATAAATACAAAGGCCTGATAGATGTCCATCCCAGCCTTGCCTGCCTCTCTCGCTCACATCACTACACCATGCAGGGCACTGATGGGACTGACTTTGGGAGTCGGGTTACCTTGGGCAATGGATTGAAACTGTTCTTGCTTGTTCTTCTATGAAGAAAACCTAAAAATCATATTTGTCCATCTTTAATTATGGTTTACTTGGATTGTTCCAATTAACCATGGTTCTATTTACCCCGACCCCAGACATTTTAGGTAAATTGATGTTCTACCTGAAATAGAAATTTCACAGCTGGAGTGTTACATTAGAATTTTTTTGCCTAAAGAGCTTTTATTTACAAGGCTGGAGAAAGCGCTGATGGGGAAAAAAAAAAAACAAACTTGTTGATCAGTATACTCAGCATGAATTTTGAAACTGAAGTTTTGAGAGCAGTGGTATCTACAGGGTACTGTGACCACTTACCATTAATATCTAATGTTCTTATATCCCAAGTAGCTAATTAAGGAGAGGTACTATAGTGCAAATTAGACCAGTATTGGGTAGCACAGTGTTTAATTATTTGACACAGCTCAGATTATTGGTATGTGGTTCGTTCTGGTTTCAGGTAACTGTACTGCAACTTGTTGTGTTCTGAAGTTTGTTTATTTTGAGTGAGAGAGAGATTGAGAGAGAGAGAGAGAGAGAGAGCGAGCATACACGTGTGCATGGGGAGGGGGGCAGAGAGAAAGGGAAAGTGAGAATCCCAATTAGGCTCCATGCTATCAGCGCAGAGCCCCATGAGGGCTCTCTCTTGTGAACTGTGGCATCATAACCTGAGCCAAAATTAAGAGTTGGATGCTTAATCAACTGAACCACCCAGGTGCCCCAAAGATTTTGGATATTACATGGTACTTTTATTTATTTATTTATTTTAAGTAGGCTCCATGCCCAATGTGGGGCTTGAACTCATGACCCTGAAGTCAAGAGTCGCATGCTCTACCAACGGAGGCGGCTGGGTGCCCCTGAACTACAACTTGTAAAAGCCAAGTACTATTAACACATATTCACGAGCAAAGAGTTGTTTTTACAGAATGACAAGCAATTTATGTCTGTTTATTCCAGCTATGATTGAGGAAAAGACCTACATAAACAAATAAATAAAATGGCCACCACAATGATGCACTGGAATTTCTGTTATCACTAATTTCTAAAAAGGGGTTCCAGAATTAGGATTAAATTTTGTCGGTGTAAAGTGCTTTCTTTTAAAGCAAGTTATATACAATATTAATACAGAGATACACTTCTCTTTTGAGATACAGATCTGTGGCCTTGTAGAAAATGTCCCTCGATTCCAGTCTCGGCTATATCAGATAGTTTCCTCATTGTTCTCTGGAAAGTAGTTCCAGCTCTTCTCCCCAATATACCAAATATAAATCAAATACAGATAAAAGATAACTTAACTTGCAGGTTGGCTTAACTGAACACAAGAAATCTTGATCACCATGCACCAAACTTTTCTTTTAGATAAATAGTGTCTACACTGTTTGAGGTGACTCCCACATTAATCCACACTACCCTGGGTAGTCCTTCATGCTGAGGAGTTCGTAAAGGAAACAGCAACATTACCTGCCAAACCGAGAAAGCAAAGACAAGGTCTTGGGCACTAATTAGTGTGTCATCATCTACCATTAACACAGCTGAAACGAGAGAGAGACAAATTTGAATCCAACAGTTTGGAAATGAAAACAAAACTAGTATCTAGACGGTGTCTAGATAGATCATTCAAAGGAATACTTTTCTAGACAAAATAAGTGAACAAGAAATGTATTCTTGGAGACATTTGTCTTGTAGAAAAAGCGTGTGTTTGAATTGTAATTGATTTCATAATTGCCTGACTGGGAAATGATCATGCAGTTATCACCCACTATCCTAGAAATGAATGATCACGCAAATAAACAAGACTGGGGATCTTTTAAGCAAATTGCAATGCTCAAAAAACTGCTCTGAATGGGAGGAAAAGGGAGGTGGCAAAGAAATACATTAAGCATAAGCTGAATGCCATTTTACTACTTTCTCTGATACAATATGTAATTATAGTGTATCTTCTTTCACAACTGTTAACCTCTTTGTCACTGTTGCAAGACGTGTGATTTCTTCCCAAGGAAACTGCTTCTTGACATCTTGAAAATTGGCCCCTTAAGTTTTTCAAAGTGTTTTCTTTTGATTAAATTTTCCTACTTTCTCAGCATAATTAGGACAGAAGGCCAGAAATACACATGCCCGCCTCCCAGCTCCGGTTAGCTGCAGCCCTTGCTGGCTAAGAACTCAGCTGCAACTCACCATTGGTTTCCAGTTCAGGAAAGACCTGGAGTCGATTTCTCATCCTATTTGTTGTCTGTAGTTTGAAGATCACAGGGACGGGGTGAGGCCCTAGAGAATTCCATAACTCATCCGGTCCCTTCTCCCCAATATTGTTCCACACCACGATCACTTTATGCAGGTGTGGCACTGCCTGATAATGATTTAGAAGTCTCAGTAAGAGGTCTGTTCTGTTGTATGTCTGCATTATCAGAGTAAAGGAATCCAGGGTGGACTTGCCCGGGGATTTTATTTCCCTACGCAGAGTGAGCATCTTGTCTTCTTTAATATTTGGAAGTAAAGTGGTCAGAGCCCCAGCTACCAGCAGCAGCACAAGGATGGCCACCAAAGAGAAACGAAGCACTCGAATCCCCATCACTCTTCCAGGAAGTTTGCAGATGTGGCAGCACCTGGAATAGAAATGGAAATAAAATACAGAGTGTTAGCATTCTTACTGGTTCCCAGGTTTTTGTTTTTGTTTTGTTTCTTTTTGAGAGAGAGAGAGGGCACACGAGTGAACAGGGGAGGGGAAGAGACACACAGGGAAAGAGAGACAGAGAGAACCCCCAAGCAAGCCCCATGTTCTCAGTGCAGAGCCCAATGTGGGGCTTGAACCTGAGAATCATGAGACCATGGCTTGAGCCAAAATCAAGAGTCAGAGGTTTAACCGACTGAGCCACCCGGGTGCCCCTTTGTTTTTGCTTTTTTAAGGAGGACAGAAGTTAACTTTATTTTAGTTGATTAAAAATTTTTTTAATGCTTATTTATTTTTGAGCGAGACAGAGCATGAGCAAGGGAGAGGCAGAGAGACAGGGAGACACAGAATCTGAAGCAGACTCTAGGCTCTGAGCTGTCAGCACAGAGCCAGATATGGGGCTTGAACTCACAAACCACGAGATCATGACCTGAGCCGAAGTCGGATGCTTAATCGATTGAGCCTCCCAAGCGCCCTTATTTTAGTTGATTTAAATTCACAGTTCTCCTGGCCTCTTAAAGGTAAAAATAAAAGGTACAGTGAACAAACCTCCTCGGCCTGTTTGCTTTGCAGTTATGGACAAAAGATCATCTACATAGAAGCCGAAAGAATTAAGCAGTGCCTTCAAAACTTTGTCTTCCTTTTAATGTGAAATATTTGGAACTGAGATTATTTTTTCAAATGGGATTACATTTCTCTTAGTAGTGTACTAATTCTTTAAACAGCTTTACTGAGATATCTTTGACATAAAAATTGTATATATTTAAAGTGTACAATGTGATGTTCTGCTATGTGTATACTGCTGACCCTTGAAGAATACAGGTTTGAACCACATGGGTCCACTTAGAATGTGGAGTTTATTCAATAAATATAGTAAAGTTCTTTCAATGGACTTTCTCTTCCTTATGATTTTCTTAACAACATTTTCTTTCTTTTGGCTTACTTTATTGTAAGAATACAACATATAATACATATACAAAATATGTGTTAATCTACTGTTTATATTATGGGTAAAGCGTCCGGTCACCAGTAGGCTATTATTTGTTAAGTTTGGGGGTAGTTGAAAGTTACGTGTGGATTTTCGACTGTGCAGGGTGTTGGTGCTCCTACCCTCACATTGTTTAAGGGTCAATTATACTTCAGTGCACAGATTTAAACTTACTTTTGGTAGCAAACTTTTTTCCAAATGAAATCATTTGCAGAACCCTAATATAAGAAACAGATGATGATGGTAGTAGCAGCAGCAACAAACAATTACAGTGGGTTTACTACTTATCAGGTCCTGTACTAAGAGCTGCACATGTCATAATATGTACTTACTCGCTCAAATAGACAAACAGTTATAAGCACTTATTGTGCCAGGCACTGTTTTAGGTTCTGTGGATACAGTAATGAATAAGATGGACAAAGTCTCTGCTGTTAGAAGGAGAGGAAGCAGTAGAGAGGGGCAGACAAAAAGTAAACTCAAAGATAATTTAGAATAGTGGTAATGAAGAGAATAAATCACAGTGGCATAAGCAAGGACCAGATTATCGGGGATCTTATCAGCTGACGAAGGAATATAGATTTGTTTTTAAACGTTTATTTATTTATTTTTACATTTTTTTCAACATTTATTTTTGAGAGACAGATCATGAGCGGGAGAGGGGCAGAGAGAGAGGAAGACACAGAATCTGTAGCAGGCTCTAGGCTCCCAGCTGTCAGCACGGAGCTGGACGCAGGGCTCGAACCCATGAACCATGAGATCATGACCTGAACCGAAGTCAGATGTTTAACTGACTAACCACCCAGGAGCCCCTAAACATTTCTTTTGAGAGAGAGAGAGAGAGAGAGAGAGAGAGAGAGAACAAGCAGGGGAGGGGCAGAGAGAGAGGGAGACACAGAATCCAAAGCAGGCTCCAGGCTGACTGCTCAGCATGGGGCTTGAACTCAGGAACCATGAGATCATGCCCTGAGCTGAAGTCGGACACTTAACTGACTGAGCCACCCAGGCGGCCCTGGAGTTTATTCTAATTGAGATGGAAAGCCATTATAGGGTTCTGATCAGGAGAGTGACAGGATCTCGTTTATTTTTTACTGTAGCCTGGGTTAAATATCTTTCTCAATATTACGAAGCAACTAAGAAATGGATGTGGAATCTACACCTGGGCAAATCTGCTGCCAGAGCCAGGCTGTTCATCATTATGAGCTAGGAATATACTGCTGAATTTCAATTCGGGTTGAAGTCGGGGAGGGCTTTGGAGCTTCCAAATCACCCTGTCTCACAGTACACGAGGGTCAGGAGGTACTGTAATCAGCTATGTACTCCCCTATCCCTCATGGTACCTGAAGGATGTGCTTAAGGTGGCTACAGAATAGTAGGTGAACCCCCGATTCGTGTGGCCTGGACACTCATTGGCCAAACACGTCTGTCTGCTCAGACCTCTCATTCGCTTACGTCAGAAAAGGCTGAATCTCACAAGCAGTTTTACAGAGATGTGGAGCTTTGATTTCCTAGCCTCCAATACAGTTTCACTCTGACCCCTGCCGCCTCCTTTGGGAGCACTGCTGACTTTCAGTTTTTGCTGTTTCGTATTCTTCTATTTCTGCTTCTGATTCCAGACTTCCCTTACTTCTCCACAAGCCTCCATAAGCCTGTGAGGGAAGTCCTTATCGTGCATTTCGGCAGCTGAGCCTTCCTATACATCTTAGCATATATCCTAGATCCATTTGACTGCTCTGTTCAAGTACAAAAGCCAGAAAATGAGGAAAACAGATATTCCTTTAAAGGACTGAAAACAAAAATCAACCAGACATTCCTAAATACTTAAAAAATTCCTTTAAGAAAAACATAGATTTTAGAACCGCAAAGAATGAGGTTTCATTATTCTTGATGACTTTAATGGGTCCATAGTCTACCCTTATTTATTTTGGTACAATTTCTCTTCTTAGGCTATGCAATAAATGAATACTCTCATCCATTCCACAATACAGACAAATATGATAAAGCTAGAAGAGACTTCTTACTGCTCCCTCACAGCTGTGGTATGTTAACTGTACCAAGCCACTGTCGCTGTCCTTCTCTGTGTAACACTGCCTCTGTACAGTTGGGTTTTTGTTTGTTTGTTTGTTTTTGGTTGTCTCCATCTCCTTAGAAAAGTACAGTGTTTGTGGATACCTAAGCTCTTGACTTCACACCCTGTGGTTTAACTCAGCATGTGCTGCCACACTACCATTCCACAGGCAATCCTGACACTGTGGTGTAAATCTTCCCATCCTACAGATTAGATTCCCAACGAAATCTCACTTTAGTTTCCAAGTGATGTTCAGTCAACCTTTTGTTTTTCATTAAGATTTAGCAGTGGTGGAATTCAAAGGACAATCCCATTCTCGTGATCTTGTTTCACGCAGTAGAGTGTTTTCTAATTGTAGAAATGATTTATATATAGTTCAGCAAGGACATAGAGAGACCATATAGTCCATGACTTTAACATCTCCCTTTGAAGTTTATGAGAATGGGGAATGGAGAATTCCAAGGGGGGTGGGGAGGGGCATATGCTCCATGATTGTACAGTGGGCGGAGGCAAGTGCAAGCAAAGAAAGAGGTTATTCATAAGATCAGGGGGATGGTCATTGTCATTCAGCAGCTCTCACTTTTCAATAGTCCAGATCTGTAAAGCAATGTTACCTTGTAGTAACCTTTACAGAGATTTTTCAAAGATACTCTTTCCAGGACCTTCTCTGCAGCCTGTTCTGTTAAGAAAAGCAATTTTGTGTTTCTCCTTTTATCATGGCCTCATTCAAGAGATGAATAAAATGAATTTACTTTTGAAATAACCTTAGCTTTACTATGATTATTTCTTCAAGGACAGTAATTTAAGGCTTTAGAATACAATGTTTTCATTACATGCACCCTCTTACTAAAACATATACTATTAAAGTAGTCAACCAAAAACCATTATGAATTAATAACCTTGGTTCAAAGGCCTTGAAAATCCTTCTAATATATTGAATCAAAAGCAGGTCTTATAAAACATATTTTCAGTTCTGCATAAAAACGGCTAGCTATAAACGAGAGCAAAGAATCATCCAGCAACTGCATTAAAATATACCCTGATTAAAATCTTTGTGTTCATTTTCCACAGCTGACGAGAAATAGCATATTGTAAAACTTACACAGAAGTGTTTCTAGCTTCTGAAGTAGACACATAACTATCTGGCATTTTAGTCTAGAAAAAGTAATGAAAATTAATTACTGTAGCCTACTATAAGTATACATTATCAAAGACACTCATGAGTATTTCACTTTTGTCTAGACTTTCAAGCAGGATTTATCCCCATGCCCATCACAGAAATTTCCTCAGATAACTTCTAATCCCCTATTTTACCTGTATCAAAATGTTGTGGGAGATATGAATAATTTATCTTTAGAAATACAGTGTAAATATTTCATGTGGTATTTATTAAACAATGCAACCCAATAAGCTAATGTAAGATTTTTAGTCTGTCTAGAAAAGCAAGAACTTCAGGGGCGCCTGGGTGGCTCAGTCAGTTAAGCGTCCGCCTTCAACTCAGGTCACGATCTCGCGGTCACTGAGTTCGAGCCCCGCGTTGGCTCGGAGCCTGGAGCCTGCTTCCGATTCCGTGTCTCCCTCTCTCTCTGCCCCTCCCCCATTCATGCTCTGTCTCTCTCTGTCTCAAAAATAAATAAATGTTAAAACGAAATTAAAAAGAAAAGCAAGAACTTCATAGACCGCTGTGCAAGTGGCACGTGTGTGCTTCGAGAACAGGTGGAGTCTGGAGCCCCACTGCAGGTCCACCAGAAACAGTTCCAGATCCGTTCGGAGAGGAACGAGGAATTCACTGGCTATTTGGATTCCAGTTTATGGCTTTCTTCTGTTCTTTTTCTAGAGAAATAACTTATCATCTAATTCACAGCTTTGAGCTTTGAACAGGAGATAGGAGAAAGAACACATCTGGATGGTCTACATCTTCTGTGCAAAGAACCAAGAAGGTACCTCCTAGCTCTCTTGCCCTCAATTCCTACACCTTCTTCTTAGATTTTTTTATTTTTTTTTTAATGCCTGTATTGATTTACTGACACCTTGTCTCATTCTAAAAAGGATCTGACAGCTCTTAGACTATTCCTCCTCTGCCTTTCTCCAATCCATGACTACAGATTAAATGTGACCTTAATAAACACGGTAAATGTCAGCATAACACAACAAAAAGTCCTCCTCTTCTCCTGATTATCTGAAAAATCAAAGATTCCCAAATGGTATTTTTTTGCACATATGTTGTTAGTTCTTCATAGGTAGAGAGCACATCCGTTTGGTTATTTTCATATTGTTATTCTAGCATCTTCTACACCAGGAATTTTCAGCTGGGGATGACTTTGTTCTCCAGGTGACATGTGGCAAAGACCAGAGACATTTTTGACTGTCAGGACTGGGGAGGAGATGCTATCGAGTGGGAAGATGTCACGGTTGCCGCTAAACATCCCGCAATGGACAGGACACCCCTCCAAAGGGAAGAATTATCCAGCCTAACATGCCAATAATGCTGAGGTTGAAAAACCCTGCTCTACATATATTTTACCTAACAAGACCTACTTGAACATGATTGGGGGAAGGAGCGCTAGCCAAGTGGCCTCTGAAAACCCCAATGCTTTGGTTATGAACCATAAGTGATAAAGCCATGGCTCCAAAGCTGCCCCAATATTTATATGCTTTACTGCACAAACACATAAACTCAGAAAGCTGAAAGAGAGCTCAGAGCTCTCCTAAGTCAACTTCCCTATTTCATTAAGAACCCAAGGTTCAGCATAAGGGACTTGCCTAGGTTCATGCAGCTACATGTGGCACACCAGCAGCAGAACCAGGGCAAGAATCTAGACCTCCTGATGGCACAGTCCGTGGTGACCCTTTCCACTGTATGGTAAATGGTATATTATGGTAAATTCTGCAATCATGGATCAAAAAATCAGTACGCAAGACTGTCACTGTCTGTAAGATAATATAAAAACTCATACTTAGTATGCTGGAGTATTTTTTTCCAACGTAAGATTTATTTCCAGGGTGCCTGGGTGGCTCAGTCAGTTAAGCATCCGACTTTACCTCAGGTCACGAACTCGTGGATTGTGGGTTTGAGCCCTGTGTCGGGCTCTGTGCTGATAGCTCTGAGCCTGAAGCCTGCTTCAGATTCTGGGTCTCCCTCTTTCTCTGCACCCTCCCCTGCTCGCACTCTGCCTCTCTCTCTGTCAAAAATAAATAAACTTCAAAAAAAAAAAAAAACCCAACAAAAACAAAACAAAAAGATTTATTTCCTATACCATAAATTTCACACACTTAAAGTACAACTGACTCTCAAACAACACAGGGATTAGGAGCACCAACCACTCCACCCTGCACAAAAATCCACGTATGACTTTTAACCACCCCACCCCCCCAGACGTAACTACTAGTAGCCTACTAAGGAGCCTTAGCGATAACATGAACAGTTGATTAACACATATTTTGAATGTTATCTGTAGTATATACTGCATTCTTACCATGACATTAGCCAGAGAGAAGGAAATGTTATTAAGAAAATCATCAGGAAGAGAAAACCCATTTGTAGCACCGTACCGTATTTATTGAAAAATATCTGCGTGAAAGTGGACCCGTGCAGTTCAAACCCATGTTGTTCGAAGGGTCAACTAAAAGGTTCAGTGGCTTTCAGTATATTCACAGAACTGTGCAACCACTGCCACAATCTAACTTTAAAACATTTTCAACACCCCCAAAAGAAACTCCAGACCCCTCCATTAGCAGTCGCTCGACATTCTCCTTTTCCCCAACCTCCCCGCCAGCAGCAGGCAACCACTAATCTACTTGATCACCATAGATTTGCCTCGCCTGGACGTCGCATATAAATGGGAATCGTACAGTACATCACCTTTGTGTCTGGCTTCACTCAGCATAATGTTTTCAAGGTTCACCCATGTCATAGTATACATCAGGACCTCATTCATTTATTTTTTTTATTGCCATGTAACATTCCATTCCCGTACAGATAGAACACATTTTGTTTACCTGTTTATCAGTTGCTGGATACTCGGGTTGTTTCCAGTTTGCTATTATGAATAATGCTGCTCTGAACGTTCATGGACAGGTTTTTATGCGAGCATGTTTCCATTTCTCTTGGGTATATACTTAGCAGTGGAGCTGTAGGGTCACTATGTCAGAATCTTAAAAAAAAATTTTTTTTAACATTTATTTATTTTTGAGAGAGAGAGGGAGAATGTGGGTGAGTGGGAGAGGGCTCGAAAGAGGGAAACAGAGGATCTGAAGCAGGTTCTGCACAGTGAGCACAGAGCCCAATGTGGGCCTCGAACTCATGAACTGTGAGATCATGACCTGAGCCAAGATCAAGAGTCGGGTATTTAACCGATTGAGCCACCCAGGTGCCCCAGAAATTGTTTAATATCTGAGAATTGAACAGCTTTTGGAAGAGTATTATTTGAAATGTTAAAAAAAAATCTCTTAAATGTAGATAGGAGAGTAAGAAAGTAAATAACACATAGTTTATAAAGCAACAGTTGCACATTCTCTAATGCGTGTCTCTAAATGGACCAGGAAATTTGAATTGTCAAAAACCCACTATTCAGTGGGATATTTACTTATATCATCTACCAAAATTCCTTAGAAGGAAGGCTGCTAAATGTTGAATGAATAATTCTTTTCTCAGGGCCAGTTCCTTCAGACTGAAAAGGCAACAATTATCCAGACAGAAGATGAAAACAAATATGCCAGACCATAGTATGAACAAAGATTAGTTATGTCCTCTGACTCAGAAAGTAGAAACGCAGTGAACAGCCTGACGTCGTACATTGAGAAGCTGTCATTTTCATTTTGATGCCACAGATGGCAGAGGAGCAATAATTATTCTGCCATTTCACTACTAGATTTGCCTCATATTGTACAGATTGTTTTCTCCTCTGGTTCATCCTCCAAAATATGTACTTGCCTAAAAACTGATGATTATAGAATATAGATACTCAGAAAAGGGCCCGCGGCTGCCAAGAGATAAAATCATTTCCAAAGTGGAATGCAGAAGCCAATTCAGAACCTGGGCTTTCCTTCCATGAACATGTGAGAGGGGTTGGAAGAGGCGGCTATGATGCAACTGATGAGCAGCCTCTGACCAGGTTCATGGTCACATGGACACATATTGCTCAATCTGAGGCAAATTCCAAAAGGACTCTTCTTTTATGATATCCGACAGTGTGCTGGCTTAGGACTCCATGTGTTGGTACATGCTATTTTCACTACCTACAAAGCCCTTCCTGGTCCCCACCTGACAAACTTCTACTCCCGTCTGTCCCCTGCCAACTATCTTTCAAAAATCCCGTCCCCTGCGAAGGTTCCTCTCAAGCTCTCTAAATCTCAGTGCTCCTGGGAACTGAGAACACACCGTCACAAGGCTTTGTTTCCAGGTATTACGACCATGAGCTATGCTCCCTCTGGAGTGTGACATTATCTAGAGGGCAGTTTCTGTTAGTATCTGTAATCCACAACAGCGCCTGGCCCATTTCAGTAAGTGCTTCCAACTCTTTATGGTTAAATGACACGGGGGAATCTATGTTTAAATTGTCTTCAACAACACAATGGATAAGAAATGCCTGAAACTAACAGAATGAACTTAAATTAAATGTAAACAAAGGCCCCCTTAAGCCTATACAGTACCCAAGAAAGCCTTCCCTATGCAAAAAACCTGGGTTATCCCCCATTTGGCAACTAGAACAGCCAGGTATGAAATGTGGTCTCAAGCACAAGTCACCTTTCTACCATCAGTTCTGGGACCAAGCTACCTGATAAATACAAGATGTCCCACAACTCTCATTTCTCCCCCACATCTTTTCAAAGATATTCTGCATTGAAATACCTTTGCACATTCTTGTTTCCATGGAAGCTCTAGGAGAAGACCCGATTTGCCTTGGGGGAGTCATCACTCGTTAGATAAGATCACCCTTGTGAATTTCCCCAAACCTTTAGGGACTAACAAAAATCAGAAGCTATATGACTCCATCTGGCAGGCACTATACACGATTAACCAACAGACAATACAATCTTACCTAGCTGAGAAATGAAAATTTAGTTTCGATTCAGAAACTGACAAAAACAAACAAACAAACAAACAAACAAACAAACAAACCCTTAGACTTCAGGACAACTGGCAGAAAAAGAAAACTAAGTGAGAACAATGCCCCCAAGTGTCATTCACTATTGCCCGGAGTAAGCCTCTTGCATTACAATTTCGAGCCACGCAAACTAGAATTTACTTCATGGCAAAACATAGAATGCCAGAAATAGTACACGAAGGTCACTTTTCTTCAGAAGTCTTTTCCAGGTGCTCTACGGTATCCTGGGAAGTTTGGCTGTTAGTATTTTCCCCATATTCAAGAAATTCATTCTTTTCACTGCTATTTTTTTAAGTGCCATACCACTTTTCTCATCCTTTTCCAACTTTTTTTTATGTTTATTCATTTTTGCAAGACAGAGAGAGACAGCACAAGCAGGGGTGGGGCGGAGAGGGGGGCGGGACACAGAATCTGAAGCAGGCTCCAGGCTCTGAGCTGTCAGCACAGAGCCCGACGTGGGGCTTGAACTCATGAACCATGAGATCATGACCTGAGTCGAAGTCAGATGCTCAACCGACTGAGCCACCCAGGTGCCCCTCCTTTACCAACTTCTATTCTCTGCTTCCTAAATGATTTTCCCTCACTTTTCCTCCTGAAGAACCCATCTGTTCTTACAAGGCTCTTCTTAACTCCCATTACTTTCTTCATAGGTCTAAATACATCAAAATAAGTTAAGTTATTTTGTGTTACTAATAAATATTCTGTATTTAGGAATAGGAAAAACTGGAGTGGGAATAGACTTATAGTCATAATAAATGATAAAAGTGTCCACAGTGTCAGATTCATCTTGTGATCATGCTGTATTTATGATCAATGGTACAGTGTTCTGAATGGACCATTCAGATGACCACAATCTAGATCACCTGTGTCATGGACTGGCTGCTAGCATGAACATGATTAGTCTTTTTTTATATTCACAGTCTAACTGCCGACATATATAAGATCCCTGACAGCCAATTTAAAGCCTGTCTTTTAGAAGGCTTAGTCCTGCAGTCACTTCATTCTGAAACTGTAGTTCTGAAACAGACGTGCTAAAGCAGATTGATAAAGAGCTACCTTTACTGCAAGACCACATTTGAATAGATAGATGCTGCAGCTACAGGTCATTTCTCACTACAAGCTGTAAGCAATTTCTGTACTGGGTACATTGAAGATCAAGTCCTCCTGTAGGCAGCCTGGCTGAGTGAGCCATTCTTTTATAGGTAAATCAAGGTTGAGTGAATACCAAGGGCTGCATTTAAAACAGGGATAACAGCCAATAAGTACCTGTGTTTCCATTTCCCTCTCCAATCCTACCCCATATCCATAGCAAAGGTTGCCCAAGAGTCCTGGCATTTTTTTTTTCCTCCTAAGCCTCTACAAAAGCATCATATTCCTTTTAATACTTCCTCAGACAGCTACTGTCAATTAACTGGATTTACTTAATCATCACTCATTTAAGAGGACATAATATATAAATATTTTGTGTAAAGTTTTTTTAAAAGTACTGCCTCCTTTAATACAGCCATTTGTTAGGGA